ATAAGAGTTTGGTCTGTGCTACTTATTCTTGATCACTTTCTTCAAATATGACCGTAAACTTTTCTAAGAATAAATTTAAATCATAATGAAGTCAAGAATCTTCTTCCATCAAAGGTACAAACCAAAAAAGAACACTTCCAAATAGAAGTATACTTATAAAGGCAACTAAAATAAATCCATTTGCATATTGGAAAGGGTGTAACCTTAAGTAGAGCTTAACTTCTTGTAAAAATCCTCATAATTTTATCTTGTTCCATCAAACTTCTCAAGCATACTAATTCTTATCTGTCTTGAGTTTATAAAAATAAGACCTCCTAAATTTGGTTGTGAGGTTGATCAACTTGTTTCCTTCAGTTGCACAACTTCTTGATATAGACTTTAGACTTCTTTTATAGGTATAGAAATAGTGCTTCTATATTTGATGTTAGTAATGTGTGAAATTTATCATCCTAAGAGTATTGATAAGTTCGTAAAGATTCACAATAGTTATAAATATATTATTACATTTGCTAGAAATAACATCCATAATCTTTCCTTCTATAGAAAATTCAAACAAATCCAAAAAATTAAATAAGAGGAGGGTAATCCACAACTTTGAATAAAAATTTCTACAAAGAAAGATAATCTACTCTCTTTAACAAAAAGATCAATGTTAGAAAATAAGATTTTTTGTTTAAAGGTAGGTAGTCTGCAACCTTCAAAATATAAGAATAGAAGTAGAATAATCCACTCACTTCTAAAATAAGACAAAAATAGTATGTTAGCACTCTTATCAAACTATTAAAGATATGAATCTCAAAGAAAGAAAGTCTTCAATATTCTCTTATATCAGTGAAGAGAACTAAAAAGTCACTCAAAGGTGATGTAATATTAAACTAGAATGGCTATTGCTAAAAATAAGAAGATTAGAAAGTATTGAAACAAGACTAGGACTAGAAAGGTATTGACAAGAATGAAGAAGGCTTCACTCTTACTTCCATATATACTCTCTAACTAAGAGCTACTTGACGATATTCTAAAAGACCTCCAATATAAATTTGGCTTTGCTAGCTACATGTCTTAACTTGCAAGGCAAGTTATCTATGTATGCACCATATAATTAGCTTGTTTCCCAAGCTATTAAACGGAGTTAACTTGTTCCACAAGCTACCAACATGTTGTTAACGTGTTGACCAAGTTTCTAACCTACAAACACATCTAAAGTCAAAACTGTATTTATGAAGCTTCTAAGAAGCTTTTCTAAAAGACTTTATGAAATTAAACTATATTTATCTATTTCTATCTTATCATATAAGTAAATATTGGAATAAATGTATATTTCTGTGATATGTACTTAGATTTTTTATAATATAAATACAATCTTTCTTGTCAACGATGAACCTTTTTTTGCTCAGTAAGAGATTTAAAACATATGACATCAATTTGCATATCTATCACTTTCAAATGTATGTGTTGCAAAGACGTTGGTATTGCTACTAAATTATAAAAATATTAATGTTCATTTGTATGACTCTCAAATCAAAATTCAAAAAGTTAATTTTCATATTTTATAATAAAGTCAATTGCTTGACTTAATATCTAAGGATCAAGTAAGTTAAGCATCAATTTCTTTATCTTATATTATAATCTATAGAGAAATTGGCTAACAAATAAAGTATCATTTTACTTAATATTCATTATAAGTTATCAAAATTATAAAACATATAACATTATTGATTGATTGTTTTGTTCCAAAATATAGATCTTATTGATTGAAAAATATAATACATCTTGCTCTTCACATATAGATTGAAATTGTGAAGTATATAACATTATTGGTCAATTGCCTTATTGCAAGATAAAGATCTTGTTAGTTGCAATACAATTTGTATCATGTTTTTCATACATAGATTAAAATTTTACTAAAAAAGCCTCCAAATTATCGAATAGTAGATCTTATTGTTGAAGAAAAGTTAAAAACAATGATAATGCTAAACTTGAAAGAAGTATATTAATAAATCTAACTTGTAATCTTGGAATTGAATAGCTTTGGAGTTGAAGTATAATCATAAGTTATACTTGATTGATGAATCTTCAAAACTTTAACCTTGTACCATTAAACTTCTTAAACAAAGTAATTCTTAGGTCTATATCATTTAAAGGGTGTTGCACCATAAAAGATCAAATATGATCTGGTACAAATGTTGAAGTAGCTCTAATCATTTCTATATCTTTACTTCTTACTAATTTTGTTACTCCATGTGGTGGTAAATTAAATTGATGCATTTCAAGCATTAAGTCTCTCAATTGTTTTTGTATTTATGCCATTGAATTCTTTATATCAATAAGTTTTGCTATGATAATATTAAAAAAAAGAAGATATTTAATATCATTTCGGACAAGTAAAAAAAAAGGCTTGAAAATATATAAAAAAAATCTTAAGAATAATATCAATTTAAAAGAAGGTAATCCGCAACTTCTAATATATTTATGTCTTATTAAGAAAAAAGGGTAATCCATTCTTAATCAAGAAAAGACAAAGCTCTAATATTATAAGTATATTCTTATTAATCTGCTAAAAGCAAAAACTCAATAAAAGTAAATAAATAATTGAGAATTTTTTCAAAGAAATTTGACAAAATAAAAATAAAAAAATATGTATGTTCAAAAGTAACTAAAATGGCTATTACTAAAAGATAAGAAAACTAAAGACCTTTGAAAGTGGATTAAAAGTAAGAAAATAATTGATACAAATGAAAAAGGCTTCACACTTGCCTCCATATATACTTTCTAATTAGGAGCTATATGGCAAAATTTTATAAGACCTCTAACACGTATCCAATTCGCAAGACATATATCTTAACTTGCAAAGCAAATTTTCTATATACACACAACATAGTTAGCTTCTACCACAAGCTATTAGTACTTGTGACACATGGATAACTTGTTGGCAAAGTGTTCAATCTATCAATCATCTATAGATATGTATAAAAATAAAAATCATGTTTATAAAACTTTTTAAAAACTTTTCCATAATATATTATCAAATTAATCTATTTTTATCTTCTTTTGCTTACTTATATTATTTCGATAATTATTAGAGTAAATATGTATGTTTGTGATAGTTACACATGTTGGTCACTTATTATAGAATTTGGCCATGCAATACATATGTTTGAAACTTATTTTGCAAGTTAGACAAGTATCCTATAAGTTGGATATATATTGGGTGATTTATAAAATATTGTCATGTCGCTTTGTAATTGGATAGTATATATAGAAGCAAGAGTGAGGCCTCTTTCACTCTTATCAATGCCTTTCTTATTCTTAATCTTGTTTCAAGAGTCTCTAGTTTTCTTATCTTTGGAAATAGCCATTTTAGTATTAATAATATAACTATCTTTGATTTAATATATATATATATATATATATATATATATATATTTTGAATGATACTTGTATATATTAATTCTTTAATTTTTTTGTGACTAATGTCTTTGGCAATGCACCAACAACCATATTTTGTTACTAATTAAAAATTAAAATTATTCAACTGTTAATAGTCTTAATTTTCTTCAAATCCATAATTAAGAATTTATTTAATATGATATAGTCAAAGAATTCTACTTGAAGTTCATGAAATATAAATTTCTCTAATTTGGAGTATAGTCAATTATCTTATAATTTTTGTAAGACAAGGATGATATGCCATTTATGCTCTTTTAGATTCTTGAAATAAATTAGGATGTTCAAATAACATTCAATAATATCATGAAGGAATCCACAAAATACATCATTTATCAAATATTAGAAATATCTAACACAATTGTAAGGCATGACATTATACTCAAAGTGCCTATATCTTGTATGAAAAGTGGACTTGTACAGAAGTATCTTATTTTGATATAGTTGGTACTTTCAAATCAAGCTATCTTAGTCTATCTTAGATTATTATTTGAGAAGAATTCTTCAATACTGCGTAACTTTGGAGCATTTTTGGTAGCATTTCAAGAAGTGTTTGGTGAACTTGACAAGATTTATTTTGCAAGAATCAGGATTTAAAGCCTTTGATAATGAATATGATGTACATTGGTTTATGCCTTAGATTTTTGACAATTAGCATGTGATATAAATTAGAGAGAAAAGGCATTTAAAAGTTAATTTTATTAGGAATTATGAGATGATAAAACGGACCTATTAATATCTATGTTTGATCCTCAATTGCTTAATAAAGCCATTAGTCAAGATATCATATGCAATAACTAGCTTTTTAATGTCAATTAGATAAACATCCATTGTTTCTGCTACAAATTTATTCAAAATCTTCTATATCTTCTAATTTCAAAAAATATTTGGAAGTAGAAGATATGTAATTTGATACAATTAGCTTCAAATCTTTTTTTGAGTAAAAAAAGAAGTATAGAAAGGAATCCGGCTTGTATTTGTGTTATGGAGAACTTGACCACAAGGTTACTAATTGCTACAAAAAACATTGATGTACATATAAGATGAGAAGTGTGCTTACATCACCAATTGCTTTGTATAAAAACAAGGATGTTTTGCCACAATAGGGACCATGCAACTGAATTCTTCTATCCACAAGCCAAAAAATATCAATGATTATCATCTACTTCTTCTTGTTGCTTTATCATACCAACATATTTAGTAGATTCAATAGCCTTTGCTTTTGACTTAGAATTTTCAAGAACCCATAAAATTCCAATAGTCAAGAAACCCAAGGCTATCCATATAGAGAAGCTATTCTAAACAAATTCATTTACAACTATCTCAACATTTTGATAAGTCTTATTGTAACAAATCCTACACATGGCATCCAAAGAATAGCAATGAACACTTGTACTACTATGCTAGAATCGTCATCATTATCAGTTTTTTGTCATGGACAATAATGTCAAATATTGAATTTCTCCACATATAGACTAAAAACATAAACAGATAAAAAGCAATGAGATATGAACCACCAAACATTCACTCGGTTAGTACTTGATATCATAGTCGACTAGAGATTAACAATATGTAAATTCAATTACATTACAAAAGTATTTGAAGGGCCCAGGTATTACATGCTTGGTCTCCACATATGAATATCAACAAGTCCTATTTATACCGAGTTTGTAGCCTGTTCGTCAATGTCAACATACAGACAAGTAGCTATATCAGGTGCAAGAATGAGCAAATTTGATAAAACAGTGTCCTAAACAGCCTCCTTAGACTTGCAACTCATCAGTCTACAAAGGCAGAGCATTTGCAGTCAGCAGCAGATTGAGATTAAATTCACTGGAATCTGTAATTGCTCCGCTCGTAGAGTCCAGAAGAAGGGATATCTGGATTAAGAAAAAAATGCGACATACGGCTCCCCTTTCCAGTGGTAATAATTGCACTCCCAGAAATTTTCCTCTTACCACAGCCTCTGTAACAGCAAACCAAATGTGAGTATTGATTATATACGCAGAAATCAGCTTCAGGTTAAGAAGAAGCTCAAGTAATAGAATAGGCTCCAGTAATAGACCTTCAGCAAACTGATTATCTTCTTCTCAAAAAGCGGGTATAGCAGATGCTTAACATCCAACACAAGATTTCATCTGGGTATTCTTCAGTTACTTCACACCAGAAACAAGCCGTGAGTGTGACCACCACAAGCTGCATAGACTGTAAGTAGCTCTTTCAGACTACTAATCATCTGTATCATCCGAGAAATACGGAACTTGGGAGCTAGATACACTTGAATTCTTGGATCCTTCAAATAAATCCACGTCGACATCATCTTCTTCGGCTAGACCCTCCACAGTGGATTCAGTAAGCTGGACTTCGCTCCAGTTTGCCAAGCCAAAATGTTCAAGAGATTTCAAAAACGAAGCTGATACTGGTGCAACATCAGCTATTCGCATGCGTTCGATTAGCCTCTCCATGTCATTTAATCGATTATCTCTTGCATAAGCCCTGAGATTCAGCCACCATAAATGCTAAGTACCCTGTTGAATCTGATAACAAAGTGTTCCATTACTATTCTAAAATGATACATTGTAGAGAGGAGGTCTATAGATATGAGCGCTGGTGAATTAATTACTCAGAATAATGTATGAAATAAAAAAGGAGAAAAGAAGCTTGGGCTTACCTAAGAATGATTAGGTATGATGATGTCCGAGGATGTATTTGCCACTCCAAGGCTTCTTTGAGAAGTTCTTCTGCTTCTTCGAAAAAGTTGTGCTTGCAATATGCACTAATCATAGTATTCAACGTAGAGGTTTGAGGCTTTATGCTAGCCTCAAGCATTTGATGGAAACACTCACGCATCTTTTCAAAATCACCCACGCCGCCAAATCCATACATAAGTATCTCAAAACTTCTGAAATTAGGCTTGAAGCTTGCTTCTTCCATCCTGCTGAAGGACCATAGCATATTCTCCATATCTTGTGCCCGGGCGTAACTGCTCATTAGGAGGTTATACGTTTTCAAATCAGGTCTGTGTTTAGACTTAGAACCTGTCATACTTTTAAGCACCTGCAACAATATAGATTCAACAAAATATCACGAAGCTCAAAACATGCACGTGTCAAAATTTTAAAGCTATTCATCAAAGCACTGAAGATTTCCACTAGACACTTACTGCGGTGAACAAAGACACAACCTGCATGGATTGTGAGAAGGCAGAATCAGAACATTCCAAGACAAGAAAACTAGCGTTGCTCAATGAAATGAATTGACAAAATAGGAGTAATCACACTCACTTGCTCCATCTTAACAAAGTCCTTTCCACGGCCATATGCACCGATGAGAGTATTAGAGGTCACATTGTCAGGCTTTATGTGTTTCTGTATTCTCATGACAAACAGCGTCATTTCCATTTGTACATAGTCTCCAGCCTCGGCATAAGCACCAATGACTCCGTTATAAGTAACAAGATCAGGATAGATCTTCGCTGCCTCCATCTCCTTAAAGAATCTGTCCACTTGGACAACATCACCCAATTGTGCACTAGCCCTGAGAAGTATATTGTACGTCACCAAATTGGGCTGGCATCTGTTGACAAAAGACATTCTCCATTTGTTGAGGTGGTTGATTCAACAAATCGATTCATTCAAACCAAATGTCCGATTATTATCAATGCACATTCAATAAAAGATAATGATGTCGTGAAAAGCAGTCCACCAGAAACTACACATACTTTGGTTTTTGCTTCATCTTTTCGAAAAGCTTCATAGCTGCTTCAAATCCCCTTCCTTTATCTCTGCTGTGAAGATAAGCGGTGATAAGTGCATTGTACAAAGACGAGTCAGGTCGACTACCGCTTCGTTTCACCTCATTGAAGAGCCATACAGCCATCCGGAGATCTCTGGCCTTTCCTGAGATAACGATCAGCTTGGCATAGAATCCGTCATCATGATTGTACCATTTCTGCCTTTGCATCCACCTGAAAACCTGAACAAAATTTAAATATGTCAATTTTTTACTAGGGAATTTGCCAAGATTTTGCGTAATTATAACACGTCTTTCAATCTGCAGTTTTTTTTTTGTCTCAGCGATGGCACATACGACTCATAAATATAAAGTCGGTAATAAGTAAAAATAATTTCATTTGCGATAAAAGAACTCAATCTAGAATTCTGGAACGAGAAGCACAAGATAAGATACCACCCTCCAGCTCAGCCTGTGCAAAAGGGAAAGAGACTGATAATACCTCAAGTGTAAGTGCCCACTTGCTTTGATTTGCAAGACCTTCCAAAAGTGAAAGCCAATCAGTTAACTTCATAGAGGGCGACAGACTCTCGAGAATCTGGAAGGACACACAAAGTCATGATCTCAGTAAGAAGAATAATGAAAAGCGAGAGGATACTAGAAGAGACTGCCGGAAACGGGTATGTGAAGCTGGGAATGGAATTGGTAGAGAGACGCGAGGATTCACCTGCACAACGGAGACCTGGCTAGCATTCAGGATTCTGAGAATGGAGGGAACGGAAGGACGGACATCCTGCTCAGCATTGAGATACGAGCGTTTGGCAGCGCGAACGGCGAGGCGGCGGGGAGGAAGGAAGCCAGGAGGACGAGTGGGAGAAAATCCACATGGTGGGAGGCTCCGTGCAGGGACGAAAACAGCGGACATCATCTTCGAACAAGCTCCCAAGCACTCCTCTGCGCCAAATCACAGAAGCTAACAAGAGCAACAACCCAAAAGAACCAAAGCAGGGCAAGTAAACTCCCAAGACTACAATGTAGTCGACGGAGAAAGGGGGAAACGACCAGGGGGGCGGCACTGAAGAGGCAAATGAAGGAGAAACACGATCAATCAAGGTCTGCAGCCGACACAAGACGATCATATTCTCAAGACTCGCGGAAACCCAAAACCCCTGCTCCTCCGCAAAAGAGACTCTGGATACATTTCAACAACTTCCTACAACGCAGAATCCAAGCCCCAATACCGTCAATTCTTCCTCCTTCTCAACTGAAGCTCGGAGATCATAAAACCCTAGAAACACTGCGGCATCGAAAGCTGAACGCTAAGCGGCATTGCGCTGAAGATCACCATAGCCATTGCAGACAAACCACGAAGCAGCCTGTATGGGAATCCCCATGCAAATTCCGGGCTATTATGCCTACAAAACGAAACACATTAAAATTACAATAAAATCTATCTACATAATAAATATATTAAAATTATAACTTCACAAAAGCAAGATAAGGTGAAGGAGGGCATTATACTCCATAATCAGTTTAATATAGAACCGTCAGTTGTGCCAGTAGCCGATCAGGTATATATCCACGGTTTAAGAAAAATACCCTTCACTTCTTGTACCCTTCTCTCAATAATCCTTTGAGGAGGTTCTCAATTTATATACCAGGGTATTGGATTTATACACTCTTGGATACCCGGGATAGCGGATTTTGGACGCATGTTTGCGTTCGCCGACGAGAGAGTGTGAAGTAATGCCTAATTAGTTAAAGATGGTCTTTGGGACGCAACAGCGCCGCGTGAGTAATCAGCCATGCGATGCTGAAGTTCGCATGCCGAGTGAGTCGAGTATCTGAGATGCTCACAGAGTTTCGTATGATCAGATGCAGTCGTTAGAGTAAAAAATGCGTCCTTGTATGCGGTGTCTGTATTTTGCTAGAGTTTTGCTGTGGAAGTGAACAACGACGTAGTTTGCGGAAGATTACGAGAGTTTGCGAGAGCGAGAGAGGAATTCGGATAGATGGGGAGGATGAAGGGTGCAGCGGAGATGCCTGGTGCAGCTGGGTCGGTGCCGTTACCTGAGGTTCTGACCGATTTTAGGCAAGAGAGCTACTGGGATCAATTTTTTAAGGCTAGCCAGGGCCGGCCGTTTGAGTGGTATGGAGATTGGGTTTCGCTGCCTAAAGTGTTTCGGGAGCTTCTGGGCTTGAGGCCTGAACGGAACCCGCCGCTGGAGATTCTTGTGCCGGGCTGTGGGAATTCGAGGCTGTCAGCGGCTATGTATGATGCTGGGTTTCAGAAAATTGTCAATGTAGATTTCAACAAACGCGTCATAACTGAGATGTTGAGGTTAAATGTGCGAGCTCGCCCTTTGATGCGATGGCAGGTTATGGATATCACCAAAATGCAGGTCATCACGCTAACCACCTTAAACCCTGAACCCTTGGTGATCATGACATTTTTTCTGATTGGTTTTGTACAAAATATAAATATAGCTCAGGTTATTTCTCCACTCTTGAGATGTCATTTGCAATGACCGCATTCGGAAATGCCTCTTTCACAGTGCTATGGGAACAATACATAATGTTGAAAATAACCAAACATCAAGTGAGTCTGCTCGGTTTGAAGAATTGCTTACTGTAGCTGTGAACTAGTACGTCTATTTACTGCCTTATCTTGTCTTGAATATTGTATTTCTCCTGTCGAGGTTGATCGAAGCAATTGAATCTGATAATGCTTTGAACTGCAATGAATTTTGTCCAAGTTTTTCAAGTATGATTTTGAAGACTATACCGGCGAGGCTCTTGTTGCTTATTTGTTCATGATAGACTTTTACATTTCAAATTCTACAGCCCTGTTTATCCGTTTCTCTATTTACTGTTAGGCGTGGCACTTATATTAGGTGCATTTCGCAATAGCATCTATATATTGTTCCCTACTTGGCGAATAGCAGTATTGTTGTGGCAAAGTCTTAAACGGTTGATCAATTCGTGTAAGATGCTTGCGGCAGCTCTTGGAGGTTACATTACGTACAAATGGGTAGTAACGGCGATGATTTTGTTGCAAGGGCGGAGATGACGCTGGCATTTTGAGTTGTGTCGGTGATGTCTTTTTGGGGTTTTACAGTTTGCAGATAATTCATTCGATGTGGTGTTGGACAAGGGTAGTTTAGACGCACTTACGGGAGAGCCAGATGAGCCTCAAGTTGCAGCGGAAGGACTTCTTTCCGAGGTCTCATATTATCTTCTGCACTCAGGAAACTGCTTATGTTTGTGTTTTCAACTGAACATGTTTCCATGAAATTAGGATTTTAATTTGCTGGATGTACGTTGAGAATATGTTTCAAATAGGGCTTCAAGCAGTATTGTTATGGAGGCTATGTCTGCATTGTGGACTGTTCTTGCTTAAAAATTTGTTGGCACGGATATGTAAATACTTTCTTTTCACACGAGATATATCTCCCTGTTGGTAGAAACATGCATGTTCTGTCTTTACGACAGGACGCGATTCGCCTGCAGAATATTTTTCTCGAGATAGTTGTGAACACATTTTTGATAACTGTAAAATCTTTTAGTGGCATACTCTTAACAAGTAATATCTCAAACTCTGGGGACTATCATTTGTTCTCCCATGGCAGGTGAAGCGAGTACTAAAACATGGTGGAAAATACATTTGTATTACACTTGCTCAGCAGCACGTAATTGGTATGTGAACTTCCATCATGTGTGCAAAGGAATTCAATATCTGGTGTTACACAGGTTGATGGCATTGATGAGCATGTTATGGCTCTCTTGCATGATCCTTAGGTTTTGATTATTTCTACTGGGGCCTGTTGGGGAACCAGAATTGCTGCTTGGAAACTTCAGGATAGGCTGGGACGTTGTTGTGTATCAAGTGCAAGATGAGTCAAATGATACATCATCTGCCTTACAGCCACTACTTGTGGTGGCTACAAATACTGGTTCTGTTAAGGTTTCTCCGGTAAAACCCTGCTTAGAAGAAGTCAATCCAAGAGCAGCCAATGCAGACCAGGTGAGGCTCTTGTACTTCTTTTCTCGTTAGCAACGTATTGCTACCGATATCCACGACTTTGTGAGAATTAGAACGATGATGGTTTAAAGAGTCCATGCTTTGAAGTTTCTCCTACTTAGGTCTAAGTCTGTGCTTCCATAGAAACTTTTAATCATATTTTTCCTTTTTCTTTTGTACACAATCTAGTAAATTTTTTGAAGATTTTCTGTGATACAGATGAATTGCGTGGTAAGTGTGATTGAAGCGGAAAATAAACTGCGCGCAACTTTTGAAGCTGGTTCGGTGGAGGATCAGGAAGTTGAAGAGGACTATTCTGAGTATGATGAATTAAATCCAGGCAAAGTGAGAACGGTAAAGTTAGGTGGTCATTATCTTGCAGTGGTTCTTGATGCCAAGCCCGAGTCTGGACCTCACGCGTATAAGGCGGCTGTTTTCTTAGTTCCAAGGGTAAGCTTATGAAGACCTCTATCCACAATGTGCAATCTAATCTCTGTTTGAAAAAGTCGCAAGTATTAAAGTTCTTTGTTTACAATTTGTCTACCATCATATCCGAATCATCGCAAAATCAGCATAGCAATACATGTAGGTCCTTGTTTTTCTTTCAAGGTACATCTGCGTCGCGTATGATCGTATGCTTTGGTCCATATTCATGGTGTACTTTAGGAGGGGTGAAGCAAGATGGCTGTTCTTTACGAAGGCTAGCTTGTCCGAGGGAATGCATTATGTTCTTTATATTTCAATTTTTGCTTCATAATCCATTAATGTATATGTGCAGGGTCGAGCACATGAGTGGCTCTTTTCTACTGAGGAAGGACAGTGGGAGATTGTAGAGGCTGCAAAAGCGAGTCGACTTATAATGGTGAATTGCACCATTGTTCCTTATTACCTTTTCTTTTCGCTCAATCTAGTCTTGCATCTACGTTGAATGTTATGTCTGTTAGGTGGAGGCTTACCAGTCGGAATGCGATGATAACTTTAGCGCGGTCTCACAGTTAGAGGACGAATTTCGTCTGTCGATTTTTTTCCCAATACTTTAGTGACTGCACTCTTAGGACGTATAATTATCTCAATGATCGGGTCTCAGGGCTCACTGTGAGTCGTAGAACTAATCTACTTTAGCTACTATTGCTGACATCCCTACTTTTCTTACATTCAGGTCATGTTGGACACTCAGCAATATCCAGGAAGCTTAGCAGCTGTCCAGGTACTTCCAAGTTTCTTTTCGTTTTAATGAATTATTCTTTCTCGTTTACAAGCTTCGTCTGTTTGCTTGAACAAGAGGAAATCTAACTGGTTATGAAGTGCGAGCAGTGGTTTTGATGTCCAAGAACCAATTTTTACTTTGTAGCGCAATATGTGTGTGTGTGTGTGTGTGTAAATAAAATTTTCGCTTCGAGTAATCTATAAATGCTAGCTTATATTTTAGTACTCAGATGTGTCTCCAACTTTTTGTGGTCACCAGCCATAATTAGGGCAGATGGAATGTGCGTTTATTATTCTTATATATTCATCCTTGTTACATATGTCTGAGAATGGACTGTTGCAATGTAGGACGAACTGTCTCATGTTGTGAAGAATTTTTTACCACTTCATTGCAAGGAGTCTAAAGATATTCCGTAAGTTCTCTAGGAATTTCCTGTTGCAATTTTGCATACTTGACGATTGTAAAGATTTATTTAGCTAGCTGAATGTGTTTCCTGTTGCCTTTTGGAAGTGACCTGGCTACTAATGGTTTGCCATTATTATGTAGTTCTAACATCTAGTTGATATTGCTCAACTTTCTTTTTTTTTTCTATCTTTTTTGTCTCTATGGTTTCCAGTCTGCAGCTGTCATGGCTTTGTTGCAAGGGAACAGAATTAACTAATCTGACCATATAGTAGAGGGGTCGTTTTATAAGGTAGTTGCTTATCACTATGATTTTAAGGTCGTATTGTTATCCATCTGATCAGCCCGAGTATCAGTTGGCTAAGAAGTGTCTGTTTCAACAGGTACATGACCACAGATGATGGTGTACACCGGAGAACTGTCCTTGAAGAGGTAAACATTCAAGTCGAAGTGGGATGAAAATTATGGTTAGAGTTCCTTTTTAGCAGTTGATGCTGATTCATTTCGTACCTCTCCAAGTTCAACATATTGATACTGTTTTTCACTACTTTCGAGCGTTTGACACATCCAGTAATTTTGAACTGGTATCTGGGTTTGTGTAGATAAAATCCCCAATTACTGGTACAATTAAGGTTGAAGACGTGGTACTTGAAGGTAAGAAAACCAGTGAAGATGCTGCATCAGCTCCAACACAGAGCTTCTATCGTCGACTCGTCTTCGACAGAAATCCCAATCTTATCCAGTCTGATGCAGTACTAGTGCCTTACTCAGCAGTGGCTGAAGACCCACAATCGAGAAAGCAGACTACCCAGCAGAAAAAGAAGAAGAAGAAGAGTAAAGCCAAAGAACCAGTGCTTGATATTAAAAACGGTATCCTTACATAAGCACATCTCATATTATCATTGTCCTGCTTCTGATAGCCCTTTAGGTTGCACTTGATTAAAATAATGTTTGCTTTGCAGCACTATCCGACTTGTTAAGGAATGGAATGTCGCACGCACGACTAGAATATATTTACTGTATGCTATCTACATTCTATCCTTCTCTTTGTGTGTATGGTACTCATATTTCTGGTTGAGATTGATTACTCAGCTCTCTAATTTAATGCAACTCTACTTTTAAGCGATGTATTCATAAAAGTTTTTGGGTATCGCCAGGTAAGAATTTTGGGTACCTTCTGCTGATTGAGCACATTTATGGACTCACCGTTTGTGAACCGTTGATAACAGAGGTGGAGGAGGAACTCCGGGTGGATCACAGTCAGTTGGGTAATAGCTATCATGCAGGGATGATTGCTGGTGTAGCACTAATCACTCAAGGTCTAGAACAAAGTTTGTCTGTCAAAGATCCAGTAAGTGTATTTAACTACTTCAAAACATTCCAGTTGTTTTCACTGGAATATTTATTTACTAGGACTTGCTCAACATGGCTCTGTCCCATGACAGTGTACTTGGCCTTCGCCATTTCGCTGTCCTTCATTTGATGATGATAAGGGCTTTATTAACAGGACCAAATCTGCAGGTAAGAGTGATGGTAGTGGGGCTCGGAGCAGGGTTGCTACCTATGTTTTTACATAATCATCTCCCGGTTGATCATATTGAGGTTCGTTCTAACCTTCCTTTACTTACTGTGGAACTATTGGTCTATCCAAGTCTAAAACATTAAAGCTGATAGGCGTGGAAAGAACGACCTGATTGCTTAATAATATGAGCTTATGCACTCTGTCCTGTTTTAGGCTTTCTGCATGTAGTCAACTTATCCTGCTTGTTACATTTCTTTTTAGGTGGTTGAGCTGGATGGTGTAATTGGAGATTTAGCTAAGCGCCATTTTGGGTTTGTCGAGAATAATCGCATGAAGGTAACCTTTTTGTACATGAATATTACTGTACATAACCCTGTATAATATGTTGCCAAATCAGTGAGAGGGGCAAGTTCAAATACTTAGAACAGTGGCACCAGTATTGGCATGAATAGCATCTTAACGTAGTTAAGTAAAATGAAGAAGCCGGTCTATGCACAAGTCGTTCTTGGTCTCTCAACTGGACAACAAGAAAGAGAATCTAGATCATCTGCTAGTATTTGAGCTCCCCCCTTACTAATTTCTGCATTTTCACGTTCAATATTTCAGCTACACGTAGGGGATGGTATCGACGCAGTGCATGCGATTGGACGGGTAGCTAAAATACCTGTTAAGGTGCCCACAGTTTCAGAACTTTCAGAAAATCTGGCTACGAGTCATATAAACGAAGGTTCAAATTCTGTGAAGGACCAAAGGTTGCATGTTTTGATTATTGATGCAGATGCTGGCGACTCAAGGTACGCAAGGATTTCTGTTGGACCATCTTTTGGCGGTATATTCAATGAGTCGTGATCACATCTTGTTTGTGTATGGCATGGATGACCACCGAAATCGCGAATTCTGTCATAATATTGGACATGGTTTGGGTTTATTTTACAGCTTGGAAATGAGCTGTCCACCAAAAGAATTTTTGGATGAGTCCTTCCTTGCTGCAGCCAAGGTAGCGCTTGTGGATGAGGGTATGCTGGTCATCAATGTGGTGTCCCGGGCTGCACGAGCAGTTTCTTCTGCGGCTTCAAAGCTCCAGAAGGTAAACAATATTAGGCATCATATGACTAAAAGACCATTTGTTGGAGAATAGAATTCAGTAAATTACTGTATACATACTAGGGCATTACTTAACTCGTCCATGGATGGAATCCTTTTTTTATTAATCGACAAATTCTTACTAAGATTGCTTGATGCTTGCAGGTATTCGAGGAGGTTTATGAGTTGAAGATCGATGAGGACGTGAATCGTGTTCTTTTTGCACTTCCACGTAAATGCCCTGTGCCTAACGACTCTCTAATCAGTGACTTGCGTTCCGCAGCATTGCGTTTGAGGAAATTGTGTACAGATTTTTCACCTTGGCAACATGGTCCAGCCCTAGAAGACTTCTTACAAGAAGATAAGCTACGCCTAATTCCCAGAACTTAGCCGGGATGATATTAGACTGTATTTGCAGAAGCATGTGAAACTTTGTTTTCCTGGGGTTTGGCATTGACAGGGTTGAAAGTCCAAAGATGTCACACAGCTGTGACAGTGAGTCCATCAGTGTGTTTAATATGGGTTCTCATGCCAATTATTTACTGCATTGCAGTCAAACCCAAGGCCAAAAGTAATCTACTAGTTTGGAGAGTCAATATTAAAGTGATATATAGCGCCGTGTCTTTTTTGAAGCCAGAGGAAGAGATCAACCTTTTACTCTGATGAGTTAAAAAGACTGTTTTTCCTGGTGTCCAGTCTTTCTCTCCTAACATCAGACATGTCTTGGCTTTCGTTACTTACACCAGCAGTCCTGTGCAGTCTTTTTATACTCCATGCAGAAGAACTAGTATGGATTATGCTGTCGACTCAACTTTGGTTGGCTTCAAACGTCAGCAGTGCAGTTATTCACTCGCTGAATTTCATACAAAGTGGTAATCCATGTTTCTTAAGTACAAGATCTTGCAAAAATGTTTTGTGATCACTTATTGATATAGGAATGACATGGGCCTTAAGACAAATATGCTTGAGAAGTATTTCAATGAACAATTTAAGGTGGAAAATCTTATGATCTAAAGCTTTGTAATGGATGAGATGTTAGTTTAGTTCATTGTGATTATTATTGATTTTAAAGGAAGTCATATGTATTATGCATTTGAGCTTGAACAAAAGTCGAGTTTTAGAATAAAAAGTTCGATGTTCTACTAGTCCTATTATATATAAATATATATATATACACATATTGTTTTTGTTGTAGGAAAGAATTAGAGGTTGTTTCAATGTGACAATTGTAGTAGAAAGAGCTAAGTGCCATGCCAAGTATTGTACTAACTAGTTGCATTTAGACTTTGTTTAGATTTAGAAGTGAATGCCATAATATAAGCAAATAACTTAAGTCTTGATATCTTCATTAAAATCAATATTATAGTTTTTTTGTTAATTGACTTTATTAGTATCAATTAGGATTTGAAGACTTAGATGGAGAAATCTCCTTGTCATTCTTATCAAGTCAAATCTTGTGAGTGGTTTTGATAGAAACAAAGTCTTTATTGTCAAATTTTGCTTGGCTATGGTGATTAGTCTTTTATTTAAGCTTTTAGGATTTTTTCTACATATACTTGCACTCTTGGATTCTTTCTTTATTATTTAAGAAATAGCTTGATTTAGCGGTATTTAGATTTTCAATCTTTTACTTAATAAGAATGTTTGCTTCTTCAACTTGTGGTATAGGAAATTCAAATGAATTAATTTAAAAAAAAAAAAAAAAAAAAAAAAAAAAAACACTTTTTTATTATGTTATATTTGTATTGGTACTACATTTTAGTGTTGTTGTGTTATAGCATTGTTTTGAGATACTGTACTATTCTTTGTATTATTACAATGATGTTGGATGTTAGACAAAGTTGCGCCAAAATACAATAACTACATATGTTGAAGTTGGTTGTTCACACAACTTTAAAAAGTCATAGTGCCAAATTGTAGTGCTCCTGCAGTGTTAGATTGTGACATGGGAGAGTAAACTATGCTATGTTGAAGGTTGTAGTTTGCTTGTTAATGCAACATAATATTGAAGTTTGGTGAGATGTATGAAAGCAAGTACTAGATATAATTCACTATTTTGTTTTTTTATTTTTGATTAATATATGCAATACAATACTATTGCATGGTTACTATTGTAATCCAAGATTATTGTCAAGGCATGAGATTTTGGTGCATTGGATTGCATGGATGTAGATTAAGGGCAAGCAAATAAGCACAACATCCTAAACGCCAAAGTTGATATAATGGCTGAAATTACAACAATATTATGTAGACAATTGGAGCACCAATAGGTTGGTTTGTATGCATTAGTGCAATGTTGCAAGGATAGTTAATAATCAAAGAACATTGTTTTGTCTTGCCTATTTCTTTCAAAAAACAAGCAATTGGATGCAATATTTTTTGGAGTTTTGTTACAAAATTAGTTTGCAATTTCAAGTAGATATAATTATGGTACATTGAACCAAGACTTGTATAAAGAATCCATGCTTATTGTTAATCTTGAAATTTATATGAAGAAACAAACTTGAGACTAGTAGTAGCCATTTGTGGTATTTAGTATCTTTTTGCAGTAGAAGCATTGGCTTGAGGTGGCAAGGCATACAATACAATGATGCATGGAAATTGGATTTGCATCTTGCTATGGTACTTTGGAATATTCAATGGTACATAATAATAAGCCTTTACACTGAGATTTGATTAACAATTAAAAGATAATAGGATCTATTGTGGTAACAAGGAGCCAAAGATGCAATGAAAGGATCAAACATAGTTTATAAATTAAGATATGCAATCATAGAGGCTTTTATATAAATACATAAATAAAGAAATAAATAAATAAATAAATAATACCTAAAACTTTTAAGTATAAAAGTTTGGAATTTTACTTTAAAAATATATAGAATCTAAATTTGATCATTTTTAATTATTTTTATACAAGATGTGTCCAAAAAAATCAATGATACTTCAAATTTATAAATTGGAGGTAATTTAAAGTACTTAAGAATAATTTATTTAATATTATATGTTTTTTAAGTGAATTTTAATCCTTCTTTTTTTAATATTTTATATTTTAGATTTTTTTATTACAATCTTATTTTATTGTTACAAACTTTGTCAATTTTGACCATTAATCACAAGTAGATGTTGATTGCTCTAATTCACTAGTAATTTTTAATTTTCAATTGCAAGAGAGTTCTAATTATTTGATTCACTTGTAATTTTTATTTTTTTTTGTTAAAAATAATAATCTATTGTAAATTTTTGGTTTTTGTCTTTGATACTTTTTTCTACTTGCGGGTGTTAAGGCCAAAGGTTATTTGGTGTTGTTTTATTTTATATTGTACTAGTCTATGTTAATAGACATATTATCAAAATGATGTCAAATTGATGGCCAACAAGATCCTTTTGTTAGTTGGCTTATTGGTCATATAAAGATCCAAAGGTGATTACTAATGAACTACAAAGATTAGTGGTGGTTATAGGCAGAAGTTCCTCTTAAGCCTTTAGATAGTTCTAGATATTTAAGTAGTAATTTTATGATGCATATTAGGAGTTGATATTACTAATTTCTTTCACAAGATTATTTAAATAATGACCACATCCATGATTTTAAGCCAATGGTAGATATTGATAAGGCTTTTTAATATATTTTAGTGTTGGATATGACCAAAAGATTTTGAATTTGGAGTATGGATACATTTTAAGAGTTAAAAAATAATCCTTACAATATACAGATAGATTGTTTTTTAAGACAAGCTAAGGGTATTTCTTTGCCAAACTAGAAGCTCAAAATTTAAAAAAAAAAAAAAAAAAAAAAAACACCAAAGATCTCCTATTTTTAATGAGTGGTATATCTTTGACCTATTATTATGTCATTTGGAACATGAGGTGCTCCATAGTTATAGGAGATGAATTGATGAGCACTCACTTCAATTACAAGAAGTAAAGCATTATTGAACTTGAAGAATGTGATATTATTAATTTAATTCCTATAGTAAAAAAAGAAGATCTTCTAAAAATAAAAGATATGATATTTTTAGAAGTTATCAAAATAAAGGTAATATCAATGCTCTCAAATAGTATTCTACCTACCTTATTTATAAAGAATTCAAGCTATAAAGATAAATTTGTTTGTAATAGGAAAGCCACTATTATTTGAGCTACTTTAAGTATTTACTATATATTTAAAAAATAAATATAGAAGATTTAGATATAATCAAATGCAATATATTTAAGACTTTTGATATGAAAAAGAAAATACCTCATATTATGTGCATATTTTTTTTACCTTAGTTTGCAATAGAATTAAGAATTATATTTGCTACAAACCAAATTTCCAAGACTTTTTTTATTTAAGATTGGCACACAATTGTTGGAATTAGCTATACTAAAAATTATTCTCAACTATAATGGCAAAGCAATGTTGGCACAAGCTTTTACTGAAGTTCAAAAATATGATAAGGCTCTTTGTTAGCATGATGCTACTAATGTATTTGCTTGAATGATAAATATGTCTATACCTAAGAAAGTTATAATTGCTATGAATAACTTAGCAAAAACTCAACTTAAAAGGACTATACATTGTTAGAGGTGTGATAAATCTAATCACATCAAAAATGATCTCAATTGTCTTAAAAAAAAGATTTTCTAATATATATAGAAGTCTAAGTAAAAAAAAATATATATCTAAGATAAGAAAAAAAGCTAAAAAAAATAAAATTAAAGTATATTTATTGTAATAAATTCAACCATAGTGAAGATAATTGCCTTATTTTTATATAAATAAGCATCCTACTTTGAATAAAAAAAAAGAGCTTTAGAAGCTAAAATTGCCAAGCTAAAAAAGATATTCAATAGTATGGCCTTACTTTGCAAAGTTATTAAATCTTATGTAAATTTTAGAGCTAGAATAAATTCTTCTAATCTAAATACCTAAATGTTTGGTACTTAAGAATAAATAGTAGTTGTGGTTGCTACACATGTCCAAACAATAGCAAAGAATATAGAAAATAAGGCACTAAAAACCTTCTATGGCCATCAAAATAATTGTGGAGATTTTAATACTCATGTTTAATTGCTATTATCATATTGCTTTGCAAATATTAGTTTTGTTGCAAGGCCTAATGTTTCAATTTCAAAAAAAGGTGAAAAAAATAATGTTGAAGATAAGGTACATACTTTTGCTTAAAAAATATTAAATATGCTTATTTTTCCTAATGTTGATGTATTGGCTCTATAATTTATACTAATAGGGATTTTCTAGCTAGTTGATAAGATGTTAGAAGACAAGGTATCTATAACATCTTTATAAATTAGCTTAAGCAATCACAAAGCCTTCAATAAAAGAAAATATGGCTTACTTGCAAGCAAAGCTACAAACTAAAATTATTGCCATTTTTGATCAAGATCATTTAAAAGAAAGAAACATAATTCCCTCATTTGAAGTGATATTGATTATAAAGGTAGTATATTTTTTACACATTATAATTAGACTTGCTCAAGAATATTAAAACTTATATTTAAGAGTTGTATAGTTATTAATGACAATAATATGCTTGTTATTAATTGTACTTGTAGCAATACTATTTGTGCTATACTTTTTCATATTGTGATAGATTTTGGTATCCAATCAATTATGATTGGCAAGCAACTTATCCAAGGGTAAGGTCTTAGTACTAGAAATCTAGAGTCTTATCTTTTTGCTATTGTGATCTCAATAGAGGGCACAAAGTAAGCTATTGGTTATACTAAGTAGCTATTTTAATTGATTTTCTATACTCAATCTAGACTACTTTACTTACACTTGTTTCTAAAGTGAGAAATGACTAATTCTACCAACTATGATATTATTTGGTCAAAAAGTAATTTATTATTTTAATTTTGGTTTAGATAACTTAATTGAAGAAACATAAAT